CAACCCTCCTTGGGATCTGCTATGATAGCAGTGATACAGACCCTGCATCGACGATGTCAGCGTGTAATGTTGAGGGTTACTATTTATGATGTCTGGGACGTTCTCTCAGGGGATTGGAATCCCAAGGTGAGACATTTTGGTGTCTCACCTAGGGGGTGCTGTCGCCTTAGGGGCAGAACGGATGAAGGGTTAGTAGTGTCAGGTTGGTAGGGTTGGTAGTGTCAGGTTGGAGGAAAGGAAAAGACTTGGGCTCAGGTCATTGGGCTGTATAGAACTAGGCCATCCAGAACACTAACATTCATTGGATACTTCTTTTTGTGCATTATTTTTGTCACTTAATTTCTTACATAGTCTAAAGGAAAAGCATGCTACAATTAATATTTTGTCTTAATTAAAAACATCACACTATATTATAACTGAACAAACCACAAAAGATGAAAAAGAAAAAAAGAGAATGATTTGAGATTTTAAGCAGTTCATCCAATGATGTGGAGCTACTTACGAGAATAAGTTCTCTAACATGACACGAGATCATGTGAGATGAACTCAACCGTTCATATACAAATCAATGTTTATGAAAAGCTAATTAATTAAGATGGAAAGTGAAGAAAGAATTACAGTGAATTTGTATATATAGATAACTGAGAATTTGTGTCACAATCTTAGAAACTTCTAGCATATTCCAAGAGAGGTTGGAAAGTTATGATATGTTAAAGATCTGCAGAGAGTAAAATGCGTTTGCTTTCTGCAAGTAGTTCCTTTCCTTTGTTGGACATAATGTGTGCTTGAAGCAACAAAATCGCAGCCCTTTGAGCCTTTTGTCCAGCCTTCTCAATTTGAGGGGTTGTATTTCTCTTAAGTTTCAAAAGTGATGCTGCATCAGCTATCTCAAGCCCTTCATCAATCGTGCCCTTTCCATTTATTGACAAATCTTTCAAGCTTTGCTTTATACGTTTTACATCAACTGTTACTGCTTTATAGGTTTCTCCAATCTCTGGTCGCTTGTATAGTTCTTCCCAAATTTCATGTTCTATATATCATCATGAAATAACTTAATGAACAAAAAATGAAAAATGGGTGTCTTTAGAAAAATAATTTTCACTTTGGTTAAGGTGCATACCCTGCATGATGCATGTACATTTTGAAGTATCAAAACTTTCTTTTGTTTGTGACAGCTAATAGTATTAATGAAATGGACAAAAAAAAAAACTCCTCGTTAAACAGGACTAGAAGTAATCCTTATATGCAACTTTACTCCTGTTTCCTGTATTTGAACTCATACACCTTTCTGTCACGAAAGAACAACTTTACCACTGCTCCGGTTCGTCTCCTTTAATTTTACAAAAATAAATAAATAAATAAAATAAAATTACTCACCGTTTGAGATAGCAGCTGAGATTGTTTGGCCATATTGTTCAGGGTAATCTCCTTGTGTTCCAATTAGGTTGTTGGTTTGGTCAAATGCTTCGGAAAGTGCTCTTAATGTAGCCATGCCACGTTGTTTTTGTTTGGGAGGAACATTTGACATGGTTTTGTTACTTGCAAGCGTTGGAGAACCACTAAGGTTGCGTTTGTGAGAGGTAATGGAACTCCTTTTGATGTTTTGAGTAACAAGAGAGCGGAAACCATTACTCCTTTCGGGAGTAGGACGAGCTATGACCCTTTTGGATGAAGAAGGGGATTCAGCAGTTACTTTTGTATTTCCAACACTTTTGACATTGTTATTGATGGCCATGAGAACTCACCTAGTCACCTTAGATTTCTTTGGTGTGCTTAATATACATATAAAATCCTTTCATAAGTTAGAAAGGGGCTAAGAGTGTTAACTTAAGAAGACGGGAGGTTATTCTATTTTAAGGTGTAATTCTATATATGTTTTTGTTAAAACTGTCTGTTCATACGTGTTGAGAGCCAATCCTTATTAGTATTCATGAAGATGTTTAAAATTGTTGAAAGCAAAATTAAACTAAATAAATTAAGGGAATTTTCCGGAACATATTTTTTTTCTTTTTATAATCAATCGTTGAAATGCATGATTTTCAATCATGATAACTGTTTAATTTGAATTGAACTTTTGATTATCTCTAATGGATACACATAGATGTTTTTTAGGGTTAAATAATAATTTTGTATACTATTTTATTAATGCAGTTTGCTCTTACGTGTTGAGAGCCAATCCTTATTTCTTAGTCTTCATGAAGACGTTTAAAATTGTTGAAAGTAAAATTAAACTAAAATGAATTAATAAGGGAATCTTCGGTAACACACATATATAATCAAATGTTGAATTTTCATTCATAATAACTGTTTTGAATTGGACTTTGGGTTTGGACCCAAAGGCCAGTAAGCCCTCAAGATGTAGGCCGGGTCCCAATCAAAGGAGGATACGGTCTTCTAAACTAATACAAGGACCAAGGAGCACAGATTCTCCACAATGCTCCTCCCCATAACCGCGGGGATTCTCCACAATACTGTATTTTGAAGCTCTCTGGTGTTTTTACATTATGGAGAGAGAGAGTTCATCCATACAATTTAGCGCATATTTGGTAAACAGTATATTATAAGACTTGATAGTATAAGGTTTGATTAAATTTTAATAATATTCTGCATTTGACATGATATTGTATAGGATAATATCATCTAATGTTTGATAATGCATTGTATAATACTACATAAGATAAAAATAAATATTTTGACAATAATACCTTTTAATAATCAATTTATATAATTCTTCCAAATATATCAGATAATATTAATTTTTATAAAAATCTGTTGATTAGTGTGTCCAAAAAATATAATAATTTTTATAAAAATAAAAATCACCGATATTTCAAAAATTTGTATATTTAATTTAATTTTTTTTTTAATTTTAATATATTAATATTAAAATAATATATTAATTCTTGAGAATTGAATTAGTTAATACATCAATCTCTTATCAGGCCTAATTCTACCTTCCTAGGTCTGATTAAGTTATACATCATTTTGATATATAAAAAAATCATGCTGCAAAAGCTTATACTATACGATGGGCACACCAAACAACTAAAAATATCATAACATATAATATAAACTTATACTATCAGGCCTTATACATCACACCAAATAAGCTGTAATTTTTAAATCGTTTTCCTTGTTGGGGAATGTCTAAGCTCTCTCTCTCTGTTGTTGTTGAATATCTACTCCCAACCTTCGATGTTGACATAAAACATTATCAGTTAAAGTCAACTCTATTCTTGAGGGTATTGCTAGGGATATAGAAAATACTTACTTGGATTAGTTCCCACGGGGCGTTTGGTACGCGGTATTTGGCCGGATTCCCGGGAAACTGAATTTTTCTAAATTTTAAATTTTCGAATATTATCGTAAACTGAATGTAAAAATCATATTTTTGAAAATTGAGATTCCCGGACAAATAAAAATTTCTCCTGTACCAAACGCCCAATAGGACAAGTTCAACCAAGATAATCTCAAAATGTTATTAAAAAAAGCATTTCTTCAAAAGTAAGGTAATTGACTCATTCTAAGTGCGAAGATCAAGATCAGTCTGTCCAGTGTGATAGGTTGAAGTTGCTATTTACAATTACTCATAATTGTGTACAATTTTATTTTTATTTTTTCAAATATAAAATGCTAGAACCCATTTTGTTTCCTAAATAAATTGGAGTAGGCCCTCCGTTGAACTTTACTTCCTTCTGATTGCACATGCAAATAGGAGACATTAGTTTTATTGAAAGGGGAATATATTTATCAAATTATAAGAGATAATTTTATTTCATGCAATACAAAAAAAATAGGTGAGACTTACTAAAAAGAAGAAAGAGAAAAAAAAAAATGAGTCTCATCCACTTTTTATATGTATGAAATAAAATTATCTCATATATAATATGAGATATATTTCCCTTGATTAAAACATAAATGACAATACTATAAGCATGAAACATGAATACGTGTACGGCATACCTGTATTCAGAACGTACCAAGAGTGTATATGCCTACAATTTGAAGATATATATATATATATATATATATATATATATATATATATATATATAGGGGAGGGATCATTTGACTCCAGAGTAAGATTTAAAAGTCTTACTCCTCATCCCAGCCATTGATTTCCGTTCATCCAACGGTTATCATTTATTTGAAATTAATAATTAATTAATGCATTAAATTACTAAATGATAACCGTTGGATGAACGGAAATCAAGGGCTGGGATGAAGAGTAAGACTTTTAAATCTTACTCTGGAGTCAAATGATCCCTCCCCATATATATATATATATATATATATATATATATATATATATAATGATATGGTCCAATTTAATAAGTTGAGAGAAGTAAATTCTAACTTTACTTGAAAAGAGAAAGTTTGGAATCAAAGTGTGTTCAGTCATGCATGGATGACAAAGAATGTGGAATGTGCTTTGGATTGGAATTTCCCCAGAGCAGGCATTTTATAAACCTTGAGCCTTGGACAGAACAAAATTAAAGTTCAATATGGCATGAAATGAAGAAAAGTGATGAGGAAATTAATATAGATATCACACACAGGATTCAAATTTTGGTGAATGAAATGGAAATTTTATGCGTCATTTGTGATTGAAAAATGTCTATGAAACTCGGAGATAATTCTACTAGATAGTTAAAATCAGTGGTAATGCCCAACGAGAGAAAAGAAAAATAAAAAAGATAAGATAATGAATACATGGACTTGGTAAAAAGCTAAAATAACACCTATTGAGTAAAAAGTGTTCAAAACTCTTAAAACATGCATAGTTACATGGCCAATAAAGACTCAAATGAGATAATTAAATCAAATAAAAGATAATCCAATCAAATAAACGATAATCCAATCAAAAGGAGTAGAGAAAAACATAACAAAATTTCAAAAGAAAACTATTTAAACTTACCTTCTTTGGAGGAATTTAGTCAACAATTTTTTATAAAGTATAATGGTGTCTATTGATCAATATAACTTGACCTCATTCAATCAAATGTATATCAATGTGGAACAGGGTTCAGGAAATGCCATAGAAGGACAAGTGAAAAGAAAATAGAGAGTAGCGCAAAAGAACAACCAATAAGCAACGCAAAAAGTAAAAAATAAATAAAAAAATAAATGATATAAATTATTTTGAATGTTGTATCCAATAATATATAAGTCCTACTCTCACAAGTGGGGGTTTGACAGGTGGTTGTTTGTTTTATCCAAAAATATAAGAAACAGCATTTATCATCATACTCATACCTTTAATAGCAGAAATAAATAATTAGCAAAGTGCAAATATATCTATACATCCTCATGAAATATAGCCTTTCTTCCCATGCTCTCATTTTCCCCTTTGGAAAAGCATTGATCCTAACAACTTAAACAAATGATAACTATGATCACATCCCAGAAATATGTCCCTAACATCATGTGCATACATAACAATCATCGGGGAATCATCTCTGTCACAATATCTGTACCACTATAGTGGGTTGAGGTTACTTGTGGATTTTCAGATTTGTTGTACTTGTTTACCTGAGAAGATGATGTCTCATCCAAAGAACCTCGCTTTCCAGAGCTATGCCATCTGTATATTCCAGGCTCAGTCAATGCTTTCTCATTCAGATGAACTTCCTTTGAAAGCATTTCCAATACTTGCTTCATGGTTGGTCTATGCTGAGCAGCTGCTTGGGTGCAAAATAAAGCAACTACAAGGAACCGATACACCTCGTTCTCGTCATATTCAGTTAGTTCTGGATCAACAATTTCCAGAAGCCTATTTTCTGCTTTCAGCTTCCAAGCCTGCACAAAATAATGCCAAGTCCTGAGAAAGAGAGATACTTGCAACTTTTATGATCAACAATAAGAACAAGAAGCATCAGCATTTTTTATTTTTTAGCTGCATAGGATACAGCAACGTTTTATAACACTCAATGTAATATTTTCTTAACTTTAACTGATTAGACTCCCACATATACCTGCAAAACCATTTTAACAACATTTAACAAATTCTGTGCCAATTTGTTACATAGGCCAGGGGGAACCATAGTAGAAAAAAAACTTTCACAAATGGGTTAAACTACGCCTACCGGATTGCCACCATTTCTTTATCCAAAATTTGAAGGCATTAAGTTTACGGGTCTTTCTCACTCATACGTTCCTTGCTTAGTCCTTTCTACCCAATGCGAGGCTTTATCATTTACACTTGAATTACCAATATTATCCTCCTCAAGAGTAAATCTTAACATCAGTTAATTGCCCCTTAAGCGGAAGCTTCTTTGAGTATCCATGTGATTACCAACCAAGAAGGGTCAAGTCTTAGTTCTGCAACATGAGTTTGATGCAGCCCACAAATGCAAACACCAATGTCCATCTCCAAATACTCGACCCAATCAAATTACCGGGCTTGCATAGCTTTGATACCATCAATGGGCCCAAAGCAGGGACCTCCGCACATCAATGGGCTAAGCAATAAATCCACAATAGCGGATCGGACACCATATCTCAATCTCAATCCAAAACAATTCAATTATAGGGGACATCAAACATAAGTAAGATGATGGAATCTACCCTCACGTCAGGCATCAAATCACATTCAAAAAGAGGTTCAACTAAGCATGAGAAGCCGCAAATTCCAACTTGAGAATTAGACTAGATGTCCTACCAGGTTAGGAAAGCAAGATAATGTCATAAAGCTACTTCACCCAACTTCGGATAATTTATTGCTAGCTCAAGAATCTCCATCTATGCTTTGTGATGATAAAAAACATTTAGTCTTTAGTGACTGTGATAACTACGCTTGGTCTGTTCCCAGAATTCTTTATGCAGGATTATTGTAAGAGAATGCTGTTGGTAGAGTAAATATGAAAGTCAACAAGATGATCAAGAATGCATTATGGACTTATGAAGTGAATTAAAGATTTCTAAAGAAAAAGTTTAATCTTTGAAGACTGGATGGTGTAACGCCTGGCAACTTGCAAGGATCAACGACTGTCCCCACACACTAACACCAGACTTTTCAGCATACTTTGTCCTCACTCGCACACTCCCCGGGAAAACTTCCCAAGAGGTCACCCATCCCAGAATTGCTCCAAGTCAAGCACGCTTAACTATGGAGTTCTTCCGTTCCGGGCTACCGAAAAGTAGATGCATCTTGTTAGTATAGGTAGTACCAATTAATTCTTATAAGTTATTCCCAACTGTATCGTCCCATACCAGCACAGTCTCTGGAATCCCTCTCTTTCGGGTGTTGATTCGTTTCATTCATGTACCCCCGTTCCTAGAAGCCTGTCAGGAGCCGCTCCTTGTTTGTGCCCTTTCGCACCGGCGATCACTCCCCGCCCTCGTCAGCGCCCGGGATGTTACAGATGGCCTCGAGTAAATCAAATGATTTTGGACAGCAATTTTGTTAGGAACCCATTAACAGATTAAGTTTTCAGAGAGAGAGAGAGAGGGGTGAGAAAAATAAAGAAGGAAAAAAGTTGAAAGAAAGAAGACTTCTGTTGTGTTTATTGAAAGGAGTAAATTCTCCTTCACAAAGGGTTTACCCTTTCTACACCAAAGCTAATGCTCAGTTCCCAAATGATAACAAATCAAAGTGCCCCATCTTCTATCATCTCCCCCTATTTAAGCTAATTTCCTACCTAACACTTCAACTGCACAAACATTACTATTCAAACTAACTGTATGTTTGGTTCAGCTTAATTAAGAGGAAATAATATTTTTTTTTTTAAATCCCTCTCATAAAGTTATTTCTCCAAAATAAACTAATCCAAACACGGACCAAGTAACGATTCTAACTAACTAATCTTGGGCCCCAAAAAATCCATAAATGAGCTCCTCAAGAAGCTCAAAATTAAGGAAGTCAGAATTACTCAACAAGTTGATGCTTAAAATAAATCCAAATAAGACAGCTTACAAAAATGATAGTTACCTAAAATTTATCAGAAAAATTTCCTAAAGCAAAATATCTCTACATAATGTTCTATAATCTTCTAGAAGAAGTTTGTAATGCCAAAATTTGTGCTGCAACGTTTTTAAAGAAGCAAAAGAATAGGAATTGGATGGCTGGCACAATAGAAATGGTTCAAGGGCACTCTCCATCTTGCTGGAGGACAAAATACCATTTTGAAAAATACTCTCTTTCTCCCCAGAATCACTATTCCTCAGATTTATTTAAATATCCTTCCTTTTTTAAAAGAAAAAATAAAAAAATCCCCATTAAATCACGATTAGCAAGGATAGGGGTGAGGGCGATCCTAGCAAGCAATCTTACCCTTGAATAATTGCAAAGAGACAGTTTTCGACATTCAAATCCATGATCTTTAGCACAAATGAACAATTTTACCACTGCCCTAGGCTTGCCCTCTTTTAGAAGAGAAAAAAAAAAGACAAACGAAGAACATCCAGAAGTGTGTCATGCTCTGCTCATTTAAGTTTCTCTCTTGTACTTCTTGCAAGAAACCACCTTAGAGTGTAAAACCTTTATTTCACTTGTGTTGTAAAGCCTTGTGAGGCAATAATTTCTAGCTTGGTGTTCTAAATTGTAGGTTAGTAAGTAACCCGAGAGATCTGAGAATGTGAGGCGAGTACTTTCTGCTTGTAACGCCCGACCGCTTCAAGAATCAATGACTATCCCCACACACTCATACGGGACTTTTCATCATGCTTTATCCTCACTCACACACTTCCTGGAAAACTTCCCACTAGGTCACCCATCCCAGAATTGCTCCAAGTCAAACACGTTTAACTATGGAGTTCTTCCGTTATGGGCTACCGAAAAATAGATGCATCTTGCTAGTATAGGTAGTACCAATTAATTCTTATAATTTATCCCCAACTGTGCAGTCTCATACCTGCACAGTCTTTGGAATCTCTCTCTTTCGGGTGTCGATTTGATTCATTCTTGTACCCCTGCTGGAAGCCTGCCAAGAGCCGCTCTTTGTTTGTGCCCTTTCGCATCGGCGATCACTCCTCGCCCTCCTCGGCGCTGGGGATGTTACATGCCCACCAACTTCCGCCTGGTTCGTCCTCGAACCACACCGTAGTGGGAAAGAGACCATGCTCTGATACCACTTGCCCAGGAAGTGTGTGAGTGAGGATAAAGCACGCTGAAAAGTCTCGTGTTAGTGTGTGGGGATAGTCATTGATTCTGCAAGTGGTCGGGAGTTACAATGCTGAGCAGTGAGAATCTCATTTCTTGTTGGGTACTGGATGTAGGTTCCACCCCTGGCCAAACCAGTATAAAACCATTTGATCAAGCTCTTCCACTCTCTCATTTTAATTGTTGCGCTAAGTTTACGGTTATCTGAGTTCATCAGTTATCAGTCTGCTAATATTTTTATCAGCAGTCTATTCTCTGTCAAATTTCAGTTTTAAGTTTGTGTTGCAGAAAAGGTTTTGAAGGGTTTGATTCAAACCCCCTTCTCAAGTCTTTTGACAAGATTTATGTCTTTATTTATCCTTATTTGTCCCTATATCTCTGGCAATTAAAAAAGCTATGATAAGATCCTAGCATGTATGAGATCAATATTTTTAATACTCAAGAATCCAGAAATGTACCCATTCCACAAGAACCAAAAGATTCTCTTCAAATGCAGCTTTGCTACTACTTGTACCACTGATTATTTCAAGCATGACTATCCCAAAACTGTATACATCTGCCTTCTTCGTAAGCTGTCCTAGAAGTGCATATTCTGGAGCAAGATATCCCCTGCACAGACAAAAGAAGTAAACTGGGTTTATATGTTATGGCCAAGTCTCCTACAAAGAACTATGGATGGATCTATACTAAAAATAGAGATTACAAACAGTTACTTTTACTCTCTCTTTTCTAAACTTCTTTGCTCTCCCCATTCTCTTTCTATCCTACTTTTGCTTTCAGCACGTATTATTATTGTAAAAGAAATTATACAAATTACTTGACTTTTTATGCAATGTTTCAAAATTGAAATGTATTAACATAACAATTAAATATTTATTAACAATAAAAAACAGAGATGCTAGAGGTGCACGACAAAATGATTAAACTAATGTATGCTATAGAAATTTGAAGCATGTTACAATATTAGACAAGACTAAAGTCTAAGAGTGATTTCATTTTGTCCCAAGAATGAGAAACAAAAGTGCTTAGTCAAACAGTTAAATTATATCCGTTTTGTTTATAAGGATTCATAAGAAACTACAATATTGTTTCTGAGCCACTGTATTTTATTTCTATTAAAATCTATCTTAAGATGAATAGCGGAATTCAAATGAGTTTATGAAAAAGTTATAGAAGGACTAAAAACTAACTTTCAAAACAATAATCAAAAGGAAAAATTCTAGCACCAGTCACACAATATGGTATTAGTAATGTAAAATTATGCATCTGTGCTTACACAGTTCCGGCAACTCGAGTACTAACATGGGTGACATTGTCAGGAAAAAGTTTTGCAAGACCAAAATCCCCAATTTTTGGACTAAAGTTCTCATCCAGCAATATGTTGCTGGCCTTGATATCTCTGTGAACAATGTTTGGTTTAGCCTCTTCATGAAGAAATCCAAGACCGGAAGCTGTACCAAGGCAAATAGCAGCCCTCTTTGGCCAATCCAGAGCAACATATTTCCTTTTGGAACCTGTAAAGTTTTTCACTCTGCATTAGCATAAACCAATTCATAAATAACCCTTCAACTCATTGAGATTTTACATAGTGGCATACTGCATATCCAATACTTAACTCCCAACACACCAACCAAACAGAGAAGTTAACTATAAAGCTTCAAAACTCCATGCCCCCTCCCCCAAAGATCTTTAATATACAGTGTGCTCCAATATTCAAGAGCAACCCAGACTAGCGAAACTGGCAAAGTGAGTCTTACTCAAACAGGGTGGTTGTACTTTAGGAAGCATCAGAAGTCCTAACAGATTTATGAAGATCAACCATTATCAAAAGTAAGAGGGCAAGTATAGACCAGTGGTAAAATTGTTCCTTTGTGACTAAAAAGTCACAAGTTCGAATCCGGACAACAATCTCTTTGCAATTATGCAAGGTTAAGACTGCGTACAAGAATTTCCCTCACGCACTCTCACTAGTCGGGGTTTAATGGGGAGTGATAACCATTTTCAAGAGTGGAAAGTTTGAACAGCCATTCAACTTAGATAAGAGTCACGTCCAATATATATATTCAAATTCCAAAATATATATTTAAATTGTTATGGTATTTACCAAGCAAAGTACTCGCAAGGCTATTGTTCTCCAGAAATTCATAAACCAATATTCGATGACTATCCTCAACACAGCAGCCAATTAGTTCCACAAGATTTGGATGTCGTATATTTGATATCATGTCTATTTCCGTCATAAATTCACGGGTTCCTTGTTTAGACTGTACAGAAAGAGACTTGATAGCAACTTGAGTTCCATTCCTTAAAACTCCCTGCAAAAATTATTGAAAAAGCAGCAGAAAAATGTACTGAAATCCATCAAAGGGTGGTAAGCATTGGGCAAACCAAAAGTATAAATTAAAAAAAGAGAAAATGGATAGTCATGACTCTCACCCTGTAGACAACTCCATAACCTCCTCCACCAATTTTGCTTGAAGGATGAAAATCTCCCGTTGCTGATCTCAACGAGTTATAGCTAAACCTTGTAGTTGCAATCACTGTCGATCACAATCACATAAAGCTTACACAAATAAATCACAGAATGCAGAATTTCTCAAATAGGAAACATCTAAAAAGAAAAGTCAAGAATGCATTTGTAGGAAGATAATGTCCAACAGAAAGATGTCTCACTAGATCTAGACAAGTTTATACAAGCATATTTTGCTTATATAATTTGCAATAATTTCCGATATATGGGAGGGTTTCAATAAAATATAAATACATAACATAACGAAGAAATAGTGTGACCACATGATGGCCAAGTATTCCAGCTAGGCATCTTCAGTAATAAAATATCAAAAGTAATGTTAACCATTTTAAATTGGAATATTAGGATTTGAATAAATCCCCATAAAGTTGGTACTTGGGAGTACTAAGGTGGTTCAAGAGAGATAAAACCTCAGTTTGACCTGCAATTAGATCCCGGAATTGTAAATTTGGAATCTATCAAATACGCGTAGTCATGGTTTGACATTTTGACTGTATCAGAGTGAGAATAAAAAATAAAAGAACTGTACATATACAACTAAATTAAGCCATAACATATCCTAAAGCTTAGTTTTAACTCAACAGTCAACACTACAAGCAAGCTGAATACAAAATAAATTCAAATGCTAATTAACCACGATTAAGCTTTTCTACGTTTCTGTCCAGAGGAATATAAATTATTCAACCAATGGGATTTAAAAAAAACCACTCTCCGTTAAACCCGACTAGCGAGTGTGTGGGGTGGAAGAAATCGTTGTATGCAGCCTTACCCTTGCATAATTGCAAAGAGGTTGTTTCCTGAATTCAAAACCATCACATTTCAATCATGAAAGAACAGTTTTACCACTGTGTTCCGGTTCGGCCTCTTGCGATTTAATAGAAAGAAGATTAAATAATAATAATAAAAAACAGAAACGGCAATCTCAACTTTTGTAACAAAATTTATATGGCATTTGAACAGGAAAAATACACAAAGGTACAAGAGAGATAGAAGGATGAAGAATGGGCATAAATCATGAAAAATCACAAGGTTAAGGACATGTTCAATTTGATACGAACAATTGATCCATGAGACAATTTTAAAGCCACACTCATTTTCTGTACCTTGTTCATGTGGCTGCCCAGCAGGCTCACCCTTCCCTTTACAACAATTCAAGGCACCAAAGCAATTGCATATCATGGCTATGGCTTCAGCTGCCAATCTCCTATGCTACCATTAAACCTTCTAACCGCATCTGTTCCTCAAATTCACCACACACACCACCCACCAAAAACGGTGAAAACAAAGAAGCAAGTTGGAGACTTTTCCACAACGGACAAAAAAAAAAAAAAACATGGGTTTTTCACAGTATGGTTTGAATCACTGTTAAACCCAAAATTCTACCCTGAATCTTCAAACTGATGGAAGTGTAAAAACGTTGAAAAGCTAAGGTTTTTACTCTCATAAAGTGGAAGGTCATCAAACCCTTGATAATTTGTGAGAGATAGAAGCGTTGCAGGATTGGAAGGAACGTGTGAATCCATATATGGTTCAGAAAATGGTAAATGAAATGAAGGGTCAAGAAAGCTATTGACAAAAAGGAGGGACAATACAGATCGAGTAGCGTGAGGTAACTATGAAAGTGACATGTTTTTTGTTGTTGTTTTTGTTTTTTGTTTTTTCCGACTTTTTCTTTGCTTGACCAAATATAATAAAGGAATAAAGACAAGGTCACGCTTCCATACACAGAGGAACAAGGGCAAAAAGACAAGGAAAAACACAAAAAAAAATGACAAGAAAACATTTTCATACATAGTACTGTTCGTTAAGAATTGTAATCTGATTGTAGTTGTAGTCGCATTTATGAATTATTTAATATTATTTAAAATTTCTTTTTAGTAGAAGAATGTTAGTTTCAATTTTTCAACACTATGTGTAAGCATGTATAATTATATTATTAAATGAAATTAATCATTGTTATTAAATGATTGGCACTAAAAGCTTAAATGCAGTGGTTAACAATGGTAGTTCACGAAGTATATGTGACATATTTAAGTGGTAACGTAAAAATATTTTCTTACACCTGATAAAAAAAATATGATAAATTTTTTATAGTTGCATAAATTCTCGTTAGTATATCTAAATATGATATCATTTTAATTGTCATCATCTTTTTTTTTTCTTTTCTTTTTTCATCTTCATTCTAATTCAACTATTGAACATAGAGCAGAAGACTGGGAAGCACAGTGAGAAGACTGCTTTCTTGGAGTCTTCTGATTTGTGTAAAGAGCAATGATTTTTCCTTTTTAATCATATTTTAAGCCATCAATTTTTGCTCATGGATCTTCAAGGAACAAAGTAGTTTGTCAAGTTTCAGTGTGGTCAAATATTTGGCTTCCTAAATATAGCAGTTTCTTTAATTAGGTCTCTATATCTTAGGAAGATTCCTTAGAAGCTATGTGACATGCTCCTAAATCCTAATTAGTTTGTGACATTAAGTTTCTGAATTTCTCTACTTAGCTCACAACGTTAGGCTTCTAAGCTTTACTTCTCAAAATCTCAACATGTATCATTTATATTCTGAATGTCTTTTCTTAGCTTGTATATTTTTGAGTTTCTCTTCTCAGCTTTTTATGTTAACTGGAATATTTTAACGCAGTATGATTCTTCATAGCTTTTTGTACATGTTCTTATTTGTAGTCTTTTTCATAAAATTTCTGCTTTTTTTTATATATAATTTTAGATACTCACACAATAGGTTAAATATATTTACAATATAACTAAAAAAATTAAAATTTGCTCATAATGGTTATGGTTTTGTTAATCATTAAAATCAGTAAGTCGGTTATTAGAGGATTTTGGGTTGAACACTTTGTAGTATGTGTTGTTAGGAAATTATATTTTCTAATAATTATTGTGGGTCACATATTATATTAATAATTATATTGTGTTATTTATATATATTGGGTAAATTAAAGTGATCAGTTAAATATTCCCAAAGAGATTCCTAAGTGAGTATGGGCTGAATGAGTGGATACCGGTGTTGGGCCAACTAGGTATAATGGGAGCTTATTGGCCCAACAATAAAGATAAAAACACTATAAAGGGTTATGGTCCCCAATACGTAAAATGAACAACCCTAGTTTCTCTTCCCCATCAAGAGAGAGACGGCACACTAAGGAATTCGGTTTTAGGGTGATTTGACTGAGGAAGACTACAAACCCTAAGAGACAAGATCAAAGTTATTCCGCTGCAATGGAGACAGGTATGCCTCCACCTTTATGTTGTTCTTATTTTTCTTTATGATTTGGTATGATGGATCTTGGCTTGTAGGTGATAGTTATCACCATAAGGTTTAGAGGAATTAAAAATTTCAACAATTGGTATTAGAGCCATAATCATATTGAATCATGAGGGAATTAAGTTTTGTGATTTTTATATATGATGAATCGTGAAAAGTTTTGTTTTATTGTTTTTTGGCATAAAGTTTATTATTTTTTGAACGTGAGTTCCATCTTATGTATTTTGTATTAGCTATGTAGTGTTATTTTTGTTCCCTGACGGTGATTTTTTGGTTTTGGAACAAAAGCTACATTTTTTAGAAAAAACTAGGATTCACAGTTTAATAAGGGTTTATTATTTAAATTTTGAATCTGTGAATAGATGGAATGTTTGGAAGAATTTTTGGCTTTATAATCGATGAGGTTTTGTTGTTTGAATTTTTTGAATAAACAATGAATTCTCTTAGAAAATTTTGGACTTACGGTTTGAAAGAAATCAAATGTTTAAGGTCTTTGGTTTTGGGGTTTTCCTTATATTTGATATTCTTTGTTAAAAGCTAAATATAATTTTTTTTTGGATATTATGCATCATTTTCAAGCTTTCATTTGAAAAGGCTTACATGTGCGTTGTTTGTGCATCATTTTTTAAGCCTTATAATGAAAAGGTATTTATTGTTAATGGTATAATGATATAGTATGTATGTAAATACATTGAGGATTGATAAAGAATAATTTTCTTTATTGTTGTTATTTTGTTTTTAAATGGGTTTATTATCCCTAAAGGTTTCTATTTGAAATTAAATATGATAGATTTGTTAACCGCCACAGTGGCCAAATTTATAAAGGTTAATTTGATTTCAAATAGGTTGGTCATATAAATATATTTTATTTATGCAAATAATAATCGGCCCACAGGAAGGTTATTGTTTGGCCAAATAATATATGTTGTGTGATCATGTGTGTGTTTATTGCTTATGCGGATAGTGATCGGCCCACAGGAAGGTTATTATTTGGCCAAGTAACAAACATACCTGTGGTAATAAATATGTGACAATTATCAAGAATTCTCCATGTAATTCATAGTCGGCCCACAGGAAGGCTATGATTTGACAGGACTTATTGTCAATGTTTGATTACTACATTAAGAGTACCACTTACAAGTTGATATTTTTGTCCACAGACTAAATATTAATGTTGTGCTAGGTATCTTATAATAAACTCATTTTACTTCGGATTATTTGTCTATATCGTGTATGTATATATATGATATGACATGTTATTAGTATGTTATCTTTTTTGTTCTCTGTATAGTTTCTGCTACCGCTGCCAATTATGTTGCTCAAATGAATATGCTTCCAATGCTTAATGGGGCAAATTTCAAGCTGTGGAAAGAGAATGTGGAAATTGTTCTCGACTGCATGGATCTCGACAATGCACTAAGGACTGAGAAACCCACTTCCACTCAGGAAAATCCAAACACGGATAAAATTGAGAAGTGGGAACGCTCAAATCGCATGTGTTCGATGATCATGAAACGTTCCGTTTCGGAGGCGTTTAGGGGCTCGATTGTTGAGACTACTGATGCCAAGTTGTTTCTGAAGGAACTCGAGCAATACTTTGCTCGAAATGAAAAGGCTAAAATTGGTCAAACCTTGTCCAAACTCATAAACATGAGGTATAAAGGAAAGGGAAACATAAGGGAGTACATTATGGAAATGTCTAATCTTGCTGGAAAACTAAAGGCATTAAAGTTAGAGCTGCCCTCTGAGTTGCTCATGTACTTAGTTATTATTTCTCTTCCTGCACAATACGGTGAATTTGTGGTGAGTTATAACACTCAAAAGGAAAAATGGACTCTTAATGAGCTCATTTCTCACTGTGTGCAAGAGGAAGAGAGGTTACAGCGAGAGAAGACTGATAGTGCTCACTTGGCATCAACCTCTCAAGACAAGAAAAGAAAGAGAGCTAAGGATAATGCGGATGCTTTGCCAAAGAAGCAAAAGAAGCAGGACCAGGAATTCACTTGCTTCTTTTGTAAGAAATTTGGACACATGAAGAAAAAGTGTTCCAAATACAAGGCATGGCGCGAAAGGAAGGGTATGACTCTCACTTTAGTTTGTTGGTACTGGTTCTGTGGCACAAGTGTTTAGGTAATATCTCTAAACAGAGAATTCAGAGGCTTGTGACTGATGGAATTCTTGAACCCCTTGATCTGGATGATTTTGAGGTATGCATTGAATGCATAAAGGCGAAACAGACAAACATAAGGAAAATAGGTTCCAACAGAGCTTCAGACGTCTTAGAATTGATTCATACGGATATTTGTGGACCATTTCCTATAGCCTCTTGGAATGGTCAACAATACTTTATCACATTCATAGACGACTATTCAAGATTTGGATACCTATATTTGATTAGAGAGAAGTCACAATCATTGGATGTGTTCAAAGAATTTAAAGCTGAAGTTGAACTTCAGTTAGGCAAGAAAATTAAGGCCATTAGATCTGATCGTGGTGGTGAATACTATGGTAGATCTGATGGATCAGGTGAACAACGTCCAAGGCCCTTTGCGATCTTCCTAAAAGAGTGTGGAATCGTCCCGCAATACACAATGCCAGGTAAACCTAGCATGAATGGTGTTGTGGAAAGGCGAAATCAGACTCTTAAAGACATGGTGAGGAGTATGCTTAGTCATTCTTCATTGCCAGAATCACTTTGGGGAGAAGCACTAAAGACTGCAGTTTATATCCTTAATAGGGTTCCCAGCAAAGCAGTGACAAAAACCCCTTATGAGCTATGGAATGGAAAGAAACCTAGCATAAGGAATCTACACATTTGGGGTTGTCCAGCAGAAGCAAGGCCTTATAGGCCAAATGAAAGAAAGTTGGACTCAAGAACAATCAGCTGTTATTTTGTTGGATATGCTGAACGCTCTCGGGGCTTTAAGTTTTATAATCCCACTACAAGATCCTTTTTTGGAGACGGGAAATGCCAGATTCCTTGAGGATGTTGAGTTTGGGGGGGAAGATAAAATAAGGAATGTTGTCTTTGATGAGGAAGAAAATAATATTTCTCTTCCTAATATTGTCATCATTCAAGATGCAATTACGGAACAAGCAATTAATGATCTGGTCCCTGTTCATGACATTGTTATGGAACAGGCTTTGGTCCCTGACATTACTTTGGGTCAAGACAATAATGAATCACCCCCTATGCCACCTATAGAACAAACTCAACAAACTCAAGAAGTGCCATTAAGGAGATCCACTAG